CCAAGACCCTTTCCTCCTCTCTCTGGGCCACAACTGGGCACAAAGCACCCACATTCCTACGTGTGAATTATCCGCGTGAATCACTATACAGGAGTGAGACACACTCAGTCATAAATCACACGTGACTAGAGAGACACGCAGTGCATGAGGGTCAGAAACGACTCTCCTGTCATCCCACACACCGCACCACCGGCCCACGCCCGGCCCTCTGTGTCTCCTGTCTTTGGCACGCCAGATCTCAATCTCTCTCTCCCTCGGAATGGAGCCCGTCAGGGTACCAAAGTGGGCTCCCAGCGCACGGTATCTGAGGGCCATTCTTTCTGCCCCGGGCACGCCCTCGACCTTCGGGCTGGTGGGCGGGAGCGGGGGTGCCGGGGTGCCTAAGATTTAGGTCGTCCATACCAGGGAGAAACCTCCCCCGAGGATCGCAGCCCGCAGCCCGCAGCCCGCAGCCCGCAGCGGCCCCGCGCGGCCAGTCCCGGCACCGCACCACCCCAGCCTCCGCTGCGCTCCAGCCCGAACTAACCAAACAGCGGAAACTACTCGAGAAAGGCCGGGTGGGAAGCGCGATCAGCAGTCGCCCGCTGCTCCAGCTTCCTTCGGGTCTGTGCCGGAACCTCTGGGCACTTGCATACGATTCCCCGCCGGTTTTGCAGGCGTGAAATTTTACAAGTAAAATACTCTTAAGCGTAGCAGAGCTAGCCAACCAGAAGAGCCCGGATAGCTCAGTCGGTAGAGCATCAGACTTTTAATCTGAGGGTCCAGGGTTCAAGTCCCTGTTCGGGCGTTAGTTTTTTCCCTACCTAAACAGCAGTCTTCACTTTTAAGTACAATTAATACTTGTATTCCTTCAAACAAAACAAAGGAAAAGAATAACGAAAATACTATTAGTTTCAAAAGGAAGTGGTACTAAGTGATTCAGGGTTTCAGTGTTCAGAAGGTAGAACGAACAACGGGAAGGAAAGTAGAGATGTTTGAGAACAGAACATGTATATGAGTCATATACGCTAATTTAAATTTTCTAGTAGCCACATTAAAAATAATAAAAAGTTTCATCAAGCTGTAAACACATTAAGTGTGTGCAGGTTCTTTGTATATCAATTATATTTCAATAAAGCTAAAAATGGAAGAATAATAATAGAAAGCTAAAAATGGAAGAATAATAATAGAAGAAACAGCGGAGGTAGCAGGAGTACATGGGAGCTCTCTGCACTTTCTGTTCAATTTTTCTGTAAACCTAAAACTGACCTAAGAAATAAAAATGTTATTTTTTTTAAAGAGTAAAAAGCAAGTCTAAATTAATTTTAATAACGTATTTTATTTAACCCAAAATATCAAAAATTTTGGCATTTTAACATGTAATCAATATTTTAATGTTAATGAAATTATAACAATTTTTTGTACTAAGTCTCCTAAGTACAGTTTCTATTTTACACTTACATTTCAATTCATATTTCAGACGCTCCATAGCAGGGACTACCTTATTCGACAATGGTTTTTATGTTGTTTTGTCTTCTGTGAATGACAGAGTGCAGAGTAGAACAGAGTTCACTGTTATATACGTACTCAGAAAGGAGTTCCTACGGGTCGGTTCCATGGTGTAATGGTTAGCACTCTGGACTCTGAATCCAGCGATCCGAGTTCAAATCTCGGTGGAACCTGAAGCTTTGTTTTCACTACCTGCCAAAAACAGTCTATTCTGTTATGCATTAGTTTTATATATGAGGTTCTTTTATGATCTAAGAGGATCTGAAAAGAAAAACTACGGTTTTGTTCTTTGAGCATTCAGACTGGGTAATTTAGAACCTCTAGCACACCCTGAGGAAAAAACACAGCCAATCACTTAAATATGTATATGAACAAGTGTTGCGATGATTTTGAGAGATAAGGATGTTATTTGAGAAGGTGTTAAAGAGGAGATCAGTTACGAAGAAATGAAGGTTACTTTGGCAGTTGCGATCAGGTTTTGGTTTCTGGCTGGGATTTAGACCTAAGCAGGATATGTCTGAAACACCAGAGGGGTGACAGTGGTGAGACCTCTCTACCAGATGTCCTCGTAAAATTGAGGAAGATCCCACAAGGGCCTGTATGAATTTACAGGGTGCGTGAGCCAGGAGGAAAACTGACTTGGCAGCGGTGGGATTCGAACCCACGCCTCCGGAGAGACTGGAGCCTAAATCCAGCGCCTTAGACCGCTCGGCCACGCTACCTGCGTGAAGTAAAGGGTCCTCCATAGTCCTCCTAAGAGACTATAGAGAAGTAAGCTGGACATGGTTGCGTTAAATTGGTCTTCTTTGGAAACCATCTAAACTCAGAACTGCGGAGCAGCGGATAGCAAAGCAAATATACCAAAGGAAACAGACGCACAGAAATTTACAAAGAAACAAGTTTATTTTGATGGGTGGAGCCACATCTGGGAGGGGGTGCGCCTGGGCTGGAAGCATCCCCCAAGCAGGCATCGGAGCTCTGTGCTCGTCCCCTCACTCATATTCAGTTGCTCTCTCTCCCTGTGTCTTCCACCCACGTGCTCCCGCACTCCCACCTGGCTCACCTGCTTTGCGCCCGCTACCTCTCCCAGGCAGGCCTCTGAGGTCCTAACCGCGCGCTCTTGGCGTACCCCTCTCCCTCTCCCACCCCTTCTCTCATGCCAGTTCCCGTATGCCGTCAGACGCCGCCGCCGGTCAGCGGGCTCTGTGGCGCAATGGATAGCGCATTGGACTTCTAGTGACGAAAAAGCGATTCAAAGGTTGTGGGTTCGAATCCCACCAGAGTCGATTTTATTTCAACTTTTTTTTTTTTTTCTCCTTTCCTCTTTATCCATTTTTTTCTTAAAGGTCCCCATCCCTTCTCCCCCTACCCTAACTCTGTTTTCCACCTGTTTTCAGTTCCAACCTCAGTCTCCGCTCTGCTCTCTTCTTTACTTACCTGTCTGCCCCGGGGCTTGGGCCTTGGAGAGCAGGACTGGGGGGACGGGAGACAGAAGTGGAGGGAAAGTGGGCGTGGACGCCGAGATAAAGGCAGGCCCCTGGCTCTGGGATACATGGGGATTTAATAACCACTTTATTCCATGCACTAGGGACTCGAGAAGGGACTAGGGCTGGGCTGGGGGCAGAAAGGGTACAATCCTAGACGCAAGGGGGGAGGGGAAAGGGACAGGAACCAGGAAAATATATATTTATATAGATACTCTAATATAGACCACATCTCACCCGCGCGCTGTGCCCGCGCGCCCCGCCGCCCTCCCCAACACCTCCTCGCCGGGACACCCGGATCCCTCTGCTGCCTTTAGGCTGGAGTCTCT